GACTTCGCTGCTCACTGTCTTCTAGACTACGCCTCTAGTCTTGTTGCTGAGTCTGCGTCTGTTTGTCCTCCGTCCGTTGGGGGTGAGTGTGCTCTTAGCACGGACGTGTAGGAGGAGTTCCAGTGTTTTGTTGCTGCTTTGCGTCATCTCGTGTCCATGCTGATTGCCCCTGAGGGAGACCCAAATGCACCAGACATCCCGACTCCTCGATCGTACGTTGAGGCGATCGAGGGTCCCTACTCCTTTCAGTGGCAGTCAGCCATCGACACAGAGATGGCTTCCTGGAAGTCCACAGGCACCTACGTTGACGAAGTTCCCCCGCTTGGGGCGAACATCGTCACTGGCATGTGGATTTTCAGGGTGAAGCGGCCGCCGGGTTCTCCGCCTGTCTTCAAGGTGCGTTACGTGGCTCGAGGCTTCAGTCAGCGGCAGGGAGTTGACTACTTTCAGACCTTCTCCCCCACCCCGAAGATGACCACTCTTCGGGTACTGCTGCACATAGCCGCTAAGCGCGACTACGAGCTTCACACTCTTGACTTCAACACAGCTTTCTTGCAGGGCAGCCTGCACGAGGAGATCTGGCTGCGCCGCCCGCCTGGCTTCACTGGGTCGTTTCCTCCTAGTACCCAGTGGAGCCTCCGGCGGCCAGTCTACGGTCTTCGCCAGGCGCCTCGTGAGTGGCACGACACACTGAGGACTACACTTGCGGCTCTTGGGTTTGCTCCTTCTACTGCCGACCCGTCGCTGTTTCTGCGCACCTACACCTCTTTGCCGCTGTTCTACATCCTCGTGTACGTCGACGACTTGGTCTTTGCCACTGCTGACACTGCTAGTCTCGCCCACGTGAAGTCCGAGCTGCAGAAGAGACACACGTGCAAGGACCTGGGTGAACTGCGCAGCTACCTTGGCTTGCAGATCACCCGTGACAGAGCACAGCACACCATTACCCTGACTCAGTCACACATGGTGCAGCAGGTCCTTCAGCGCTTCGGCTTCACGTACTCCTCGCCTCAGGCCACTCCTCTGTCTACTCGCCACTCGCTCTCAGCTCTGCCTTCGGATGAGTCCGTAGAGCCGAGTGGCCCGTACCCAGAGCTTGTTGGCTGCCTCATGTACTTGATGACCTGCACTCGACCTGACCTTGCATACCCCCTTAGCATCTTGGCACGCTATGTTGCTCCTAGGAGACACCGACCAGAGCACATGGCGGCAGCGAAGAGGGTGTTGTGCTACTTGTGCAGTACATCGGGCATGGGGCTAGTTCTTGGAGGGCGGCGTTCAGTGGTCCTCACAGGTCACGCAGACGCTTCTTGGGCTGACGACCAGGCTACGCAGCGGTCGTCACAGGGTTACACCTTCAGCCTTGGTTTAGGCTCTGTTTCGTGGCGGTCTACCTGCTCGTCTTCTGTTCTCGGCTCCAGCTGTGAGGCTGAGATCTACGCGGGGGCCCTGGCTGCACAGGAGCTACGCTGGCTCACCTACCTGCTGACTGACCTAGGAGAGCCGCCTCGTTCTCCTCCGGTTCTGTACGTAGACAACAAGGCCATGCTGGCCTTGTGTCGGGAGCACAGACTGAAGCACAGAACAAAGCACATTGCTATTCGCTACTTTCTTGCTCGTGAGCTGCAGCAGCGTGGTCAGCTGCGCCTTGCTTACGTGGCCTCTCAGGCCAACACTGCTGATATCTTTACCAAGGCACTTGCGCCTTGTGATCATCAGCGCTGTTGTACGATGCTAGGTCTTGTGCCTACTTGGCCTCACTTGCTTACTTCTTGACCTTGCTTGTACTGTGATCTTTTTATACTTGCACTTGCTTGTTTACCTTTATATATGATCTTGCAAGTGAGCTGGCCTTGTGGCCTTGAACTTGTGCTCGGAATGTGTGGTGACGTTGTGATCCCCCTGAGCTTGCTTTGCTTTGCTTGACTGGTCTTGTGACCTCTTGTTCTCCCCCACTTTGCCTATGGGGGTGTGTCAGACTTGTATGACTTAGCCTGTGTAGGCTATAGTGGGGTAGCACATCTGGGGTACAACACATTTCTAGGTTTGTACTTGTACCCAACCTTTCCCTTAGTCAATCATTCCTCATTTCTTCACACTAAGGGGTACATTATCTTATTACAGCGAAATCCAACAGTGCGACTCTATACGGTTACGAACCGTTCGGTCAGAATCCTCGCCACTGCTGCTGCCTGATGCTGTCACGGCATAGATGTCACGTAACCGTGTGCGACTCTTCACGTCATCTTCATATTCGTCGTTGTGAGACTCGATTGCAGGCCCTACGATATTATGAATTTTTCCCTGAAATTCCTGATTTTCAGGGATTTTTTGGTACCTACACTGATTTTTCAGTGTTGAGAATTTTGTGACACTGATTTTTCAGGCTTTATTTCATAGTTTACACTGATTTTTCAGTCTTTTATCGAAGTGTACACTGAATGCACATTCCGAATCCTTCCTGTCAACCAACATTTTCAGGTTTTTAACGTACGAATACGTAAGAGATTGACGGTGACATGATTCGTCAAGCCAATCCTAGTACACATGGTTTTCATTTGCGTGAAAATTCAGGCTTTGATTTTTAGGAACCCTGAAAATTCAGGGTTTTTTTTTTTAGGAACACTGAAAATCAGGGTTTTGTTCACAAGGACCCTGATGCATCAACGTCCCTTAAAGTGAATCTGAGGGCCTGCCCGATTGCTAATGTCATGGCTGTATAATGACTCTTGATTTTTTAATTGTCTGAGGTCCACTGGTGATCCCCGATTGATCATAGGGAAGGGTTACAGGCATGTTGGGCTGGGGGGTCATGGGCGAACTGACACGCTACTTAACAAGCCCATTTATCCCAATGGTCTAGTGGTTGGGATTCTGACATGGTATCAGGGCGAAGGTCTCGGGTTCGAATTCGGTGTGTGCACCTCGGGCATCCCAGTACGAGGGGGTGTTAGAGGTTCACTGGTGAACCTTGATTGATCCTAAGGAAGGGTTACAGGCATGTTGGCCTAGGGGTTATGAGCGCACTGACCTGCTACTTAATAAGCCCTTTTATCCCAATGGTCTAGTGGTTGGGATTCTGACATTAATATTCGTAACACCCTGGATACATTGCACCATAGATAAAAAGCACACACTCTAAGTACGGCAACCATGTTATTACATGCGCCTTATATTTAAACGAAATATATTGCCGAGACTTTGTGTAATTATCGAGATCGAGGAGTTAGTTGGAAGACATTCCCATATTATCTGAAGTGGTTATTGTTGGCTGGAAATTGTTTTATTAGATATTCGGAGCAAAAGCATGGTAGCACATAATTGCATATATATTCTAGAGTTCAGTTTATGAAGGTGATATTGGCTTTAGGTGCAATATTGATGTCATGAATATTCTTGTTTTCATAATTTCTTGATCCTTAGGATTTCTCTGATAATGTCACGACGTTCGTATACCGAGCGAGCGGAAAGAACTTCCTGCTGGAGACGCGAGGGCGCGCGGGGTGTCACTCTATACAAGGAGCGTCGTCTCGTCAAGCTCTTTTGAATGGGTTGGCCTCCAAGGGCAGTGTGTGAGGGGCCTGGGCTCACGAACCCTTGCTCTTCTGACCAATCCCCAGACTGCTTTCAGCTGCCTTTGGGGCAAGGCCTGACCAATCCCGAATGAGATTGAGAAGTCTTTGGCTTTCGAGCCGCATATTCGCGGCTCGTTTCGAAGCGCAGCTGGGAATTGATACAGAACTGGGAACGCGATTTCATCCCAAACCCCCTTCAGACCACGGCTGAAATAGAGTGGGCAGGCGGTGCGGTTTGTCTGAGAACCTATTCGACCAACCAACGACGGCCAAGAATACAGTAAATCACAGTCAGCATGCGGCTCCATTGATGTCCCTCCCCAATCCCACCCAATCCAAGCATCCTGCCCCTCTAACAGTGAATCCCGAAGCGGCTCGTGCTGGTCAAGAGGAATTCAGCGGTGGTATTTCGTTCCGGCCTTGCTCTTAGGTATGGTTTGTTTTTTCGTCCACTACCGCAACTCGAACCCGAACTTCATTGTGTTAACTGCTGCCAGAAATCTGCAGATAATAATAGCTAAACACGTTACTCAGCTAAATATTTGTCATAGCGAGGGTACACCCCAGCCCTGCATTACCAGTTGTGGGCACACATTTTTCTCGACGAGAATGAAGGCTCTTCAGGGCGCTTTGCAATAAGAAATGACTATCAACACAGAGAGCACCATCTTGAGTTCGTTGTCGTAGGATAGAGGCTCGCCGCCCCGCCGCTACACCGTTGATGTTTCTCGTCCAGAGCATGGTGGTCGCATCACTAATGGAGTTCGCTCATCTCATCCCATCTTGTTTCTTCTGTTTGAGCTCTAGTTTAGTCGAAGCCATGAAATAGCAAGGATTCGTGCGGTGCGTTCACGTCACTCGTAGCGAGCAACGGACGACGACCACTGCATATAGGGCAACTCCTCTCCGCTATGTCGATTATCACTCCCTCGTAACGCAATGCGAATGGCTGTTGACTTCAACTGCGAAGCATCGGTGGGCAGTCCGCGCTTCGCACTCCACGAGCACGTTCCCGACGCTATCCCATCCGACTGCCCCGACGAGATTATCGAAAACGACGAGCTCCTATCCCCAAGAGAGCGCGCCGATGCTACTTCCGGCAACGCCGCATTAGTTGCCGCCCATGTCGAACTCTCTGACCACGACAATCCAGCGGAACACCCGGGGAACGATGAATTTTCCTGCCCGAAGAAGCGCGCGCGCGCGTCTCGCAAGGACCCAGCGGTGCGCGTTCCCGTGGGCACGCGCGTGCGCGTGCTGTGGCCGCGCGACGGGCAGTGGCACGCTGGGCGGGTCACCAAGTTCGACGCAAAGAAAGCGCTGCACACGGTGACGATTGACCGCGGGGAGTCGAAACGGATTGACCTGCGCGTCGTGCCATGGAGCATACTGGTCGAAGGAGCCGTGCATCCCGGGAGCGGTCACATGGACATCGGACTCGCAGGAAACGTGCACCTTGGCGGTGGCAGCGTGTGTCATAGCGAGGGCGCGTATATCGCGGACGGTGTGAGTTACTCATCGAATCAGCACCACAGCGGCGCCTCACCCTGGCAGGGACACCATCCGCCCGCCTATGGCGGCTCCGTGCCAGTTGCACCTCCCCCGCTTCTGCCTCCCCCGCCTCCTCCTCCGCTACGGCTCGAGCTTCCGTGGCAGGCGCAAGCGCAACCTGCGCCGTACCCCGCGCAGCAAACGCAGGGACAGCCCGCGGGTAGCCATGGCCAGTACAACGCTGTACAGCACATGCAGGTGACGCAGCCGCTTGCGTACCAACAGCCCCAAATGCAGCAGCCACAGCAACGGCAACCGGCGCAGGAGCCTTCCCCCGCTCCCGTGCAGCAGCATTACTACCCGCAGGAGTACTCGCAGCAACAGAGCTACCAGTACGTGGAGCATCGACAGCAAAGCCTGTATCCGCAGCAGCTGGGCAGTGCGGCAGCGCACGCGGAATACACAAGCGCGCCCCCCATCATTCCCGCGGATCCGACAACCCGCCCCTCACCCGAGCTGCTTCACATCCCCGCGTTCGCTTCCGCGCCGCCGTCAACGCGCCCTGCGGATGCCCCTTGCCCCTGTTGCCACCGGCGCAACCCCCCCGCCCCGGTATCCACCGCGCCCCTCGTTTATAACTCCCTTCCTCCGCCTGAGGTTCCGCCTCGTAATAGCGCACCAATGCTTTGGGGGGGAAATGGCGCTCCGCCTGCTTCCCCAGTCATCAGCGCGGCACCTACGGGGGGAACAGCGGAAAGCGCATACGCGGGGGAGAGCGGAGCAGGTGTTGGCGCAGGGTCGTGCGGGCATCCTCACTACCCTTGCGGGAGCAGATGGACTGGCGGACGCGGACCCGCGGGGGGGGCGCTGGCGGGATGCACTGGCGGGGGGCATGCGTGCAGTCACGGCTGTGCGCAGGGGTACATTTGCGCAACGTATGAGACGCAGCAGCATCCCATGTACGAGGAAGGCGCACGCGGTCGTGTATCGAGTCAGGTGCATCCGCAAAGCTCAGCGCTTCCCCGGGTCGTGCAGACAGCCGCATGGTTCCCCTCCCCCGCCGCCGCGCAGGCGCAACGTCACCGCAGCGTTCCTCGCGTGCTCCTTTCCCCCAGCTGCTGGACTTACGGCGATCAGCGCGCGGGCCCCGCGGCGGCGGAGCATCCCGCGGAAGCCGCCATGCAGCAGCCGCGAATTGGACCGGACAGGCGCGGGTATAACCAACGTGACGCGGTTGTAGTCGCAAGCAGCAGCGGCAGCGGCGCGGATTCGGACAGCTGCAGCGGCGACGGCGACGGGAACGGTCGTTGCGCGGGCGTGGTGTGGCCCGTTACGAGCGACGAGATGAAAGCCACGGTGGCGGAAATGTCCGTGGCGGTTCTTGGGGGGCAGATGAACGGGCAGGTGAACGGGCAGATGGCAGAGTCAGAGGATATGCGTAAGCCGGCGAGAAAGATCGAAGAGCTGAAGGGTGGGGAGCTTGCGAGAAAGAGAAAGAGGGAGGAGGTGTGCGGGGAAGCAGGCATAACGAGCGAGAAAAGCTATCAGCGTGCGAATGCTGTCGCATGCGAAGCAGGAGGGGTCGCAGCGCCACCGTCAGCGAAGACCGAACTGGCGGATTGCGACATGGAGGCTGTGGAGCTAATCCTGGCCGTTGCTCACCAGCTGCGCGACGGGAAGGAGTCGCAGGCGACACAGCATGCGACTGAGAGCGGGAGGGAGGAGGAAGGCGTGCGAAAGCTGGACGAGGATAGAGGCGCGGAGGGTGAGGAGATCGAGGGCAAGGGCGAGGCGGGGAGCGGTGGAGGAGCAGCAGGTGCGACTGCTGAAGCATCTAGAGTTTCAGAAGTACCAGCTGCAGCGGCGCCAGCAGCAGAAGACGACAAGCAGAGAGTCCCGGCGTGTTCCTCTGGTCCTTTCCCGCCTCTGCACCCCGTGGGTGCCACCGTGCATATGGCTCCTGCGGGGCCGCACGGCTCTCACACTCACACTCCCGTGTCTCTGTCTTCCAGCTCCGACCGTGACTGCACGGGATGCGGCCACAGCAAGCCTGGCGCATGGGGCTTTGCTATGGGGCCCAGTGGTGGGTGCGGGGCTGGTGGGTGTGGACGCGTGGGTCAGTGCAAGGAGAGGCAAATGAGCTACATGAACAGCCAGCAGACCCAGCAGAACCAGACGTATCAGCAGCATCTGATCTGTCAACTTGACCAGGCTATGCATAACCAGCACGATTGTTATCAGCAAAACCAGCAGCAATATCAGCAGCAGCAGCCGCAGCCACAGCCGCAGCCGCAGCAGGGCTATCAGCAGCAGCCTAACCAGGAACAACAGCAGCATGGTCAAGGCTTCCCCCTGCCACTGTGCTGTGGCACGCATCCGCACCAACCGAGGTGCAGCGGACAGCCTATGACGACTGTGTGTGCTCCGTCCCAGCCTGCTGGTCTGTCCCCTGCCACTCCGCCTCGGCTGCTTGATGCTCGTGCACCGGGCACAGCAGTGCGCAGCCAGCTGCCTCAGTGCTCTCAGCAGCAGCAGCAACAACCGCAGCAGCAGCAACAGCAGAATCAGTACCAGCAGCAGCACCAACAGCAGGATTCAGTGAGTGGCGGCCGTGGCACAGCAGCAGCAGCCGCAGCAGTAGCATCCCCATCCATGCGGTTGCACCTGCCCATGGCTCTCTTCACCAGCACAACTACTCCGCCACCCATGCCCCCTTCTCAGCACACTCCCACGCCCACCCTCCTCCCCCGTTCCACCACACCATCCATCCCTCCCATGCTCCCCCTGCCTGCATCTACACCTCTTCCTGCACCCCATGTAGCTGTCGCTCCTCCCCCCTCTGCTCCTGCTCCTGTGCCTTCCCCCGTAGTTGGTATGTTAGGCATTCCTCCCCGCTCGTCCCCCCGTGGAACTGCAGCTCCTATTCCCCTGCTCGCCATGCCAACCGCCCTCGACCTCTCTGCACCTTCTGCTCTTCCCGCTCATGCCGCTCCTGTCACTGCAGCCTCCCCACAGGCGCCCCAGCCTGTCTCCGCATTCCAGTCCCGGCCTTCCCCACTCTGCCTGCAGCTGTTGCCATGTCGCCAGCCGTCTCCCTCCCTGCCATGTGCCCCACTGCAAGCTGCTTCTCCCCAGCAGCCTGCTCTCCGCCTGTCACTGCCCCAACGCCTGAATACCCAGTCACCACCAGCTCCATCCCTGCCTCTTCAACGGCCTTCCCCAGCGTCATCCCTGCCATCAGCCCGTGCTTCTCTCCTCTCCCTGCCGCCCACCCTTTCTCTCCCCAGCCCGGCTCTTACTATCCAGCCACGGGCTGCCTATGTAGCTGCTGCAGCTTCACCAGGGCCTGTCAGCACTGGAAGCTCGCCTGCTCTTGGGGCCAGGGCGCATTCTACTCTGCTGCGCCTGCCAGGTCACTTGGCTGCCTCCCCTCAACCTCAGCGCGTTTGCTCCCCGTGCTGAGCAATCGCCGAGATCAGACCTCCCTTTTCCTGCGTCACAAGAGCTGTTTGGAACCTTAATCCCCCTCGCTCCCTAACGCTGCCTCTGTACTACATAACTGGCCTTCGGTGATACACCTAAGCTACCTCCCGTACTGCTGCTGCAATCTTCCCTGCACTTGAATGCTAGAGCTTATTTGTGTATTCGTAACTCGTGCCGTTAGATAATTTTAGAAATAGCTACGCTTGATTTGTGCTAGGTAGAGTGTTGTAGTTCAGGGTTTAGGATGGTAGAGGTGGTGTGCTTGTAGGTAGTGCCTATTGGCTGTGGTATTTCAGGTAGTGTATTAATCTGATTTAATCCGTATGTACCAGTTTGGGTTTGCGCCTAGAAAGCTCCATTCTCGGGCGAGCCATGCCCGCTTCCAAAACGACAATTCCGAGGTTGTGGTCCCAGGCAACCAACCAACAGCACCCCCACACGCACCTCCTCCACCCTCGAGCCTGTCCCATGAAATGAGCTTCTGCCGCCGTTCTTTTCAGCGATGGAGAAATACAGTACCTGTCCTGTGAAGCGCATCCTTTCAGCTATAATCTAGGTCTCCAGCTCGCGTTTCTGTTTGCTCATCGCTCCGTCCGCTCCGATGACCTGACGGCTAGTTTTGTTGCATGACACACCTAAACCGGAGACATCGTGTTCTGCTCGCGCGCGCGTCGTACGGTAGTGATTGCATCTTATCCTGGACTGCGCTCAGGTATCCAAATTAGGCTGGTGCTCCTTAGTAACTAACAGCACGAATTCACTCTCATAACCATGACGCTTCTTATCAAGCACATCAACAATCCTGTATCCCCGCTCTACTAAGCTTTCTAGCCAAACATACACCTTCGTCTAACCAGTAGTCATCACTAAACAATTGTCTTCGCCCGTCGTCCACGTTTCATTGACTCTTTCCATTCATAATTTTCTACCACCACAACCATCTCAACCAGACGGCTTGAAGTCTATTCACACGTGTTTAGAAGTTGCATCCAACGCTGTCCCGCGAAGGCCTTTCTTACACCTGCGCCGTCTCTGTGTCCACATGTGCTCATGTGCTCATGCGTTACGAGTCGAGACATTCTTAAGGCTCTCGGGAAATAATATCGTAGAACTTAAGTTCGCATGCGTTAGGAGGAGGGAGCGAACTCGCACGTAGTATTTCCCCACGTTCTCTTCTCATACATATTCTACTCCAAATTTCTCGGAGATGGACCGTACCTCCGCTCCAGGCGGCGGGAATCAAGCCGCGTATCCCACATGGAACGCTCCTATCGTCCAGCCGGCTCCGTACCCGCCGTACGCTGCTTTCTATCCGCATCCGGCTTATAATCGACTGCCGCAACCTGTTGCTCTCGTGCCGATTCCTGCGGCGCCGTTCGCGCAACAGCCTCCATCGCTCTACCAGCAGCAGCAGGAGATGCAACGTCAGGAGATGCAACGTCAGCAGCAGCAGCGGCAGCAGCAGCCCCAGCCCCAGCAGCAGCAGCAGCAGCATCAGAACACGCTAGGGAACGTGGAGGCGTTTCAGAGGCTAATGGAGGCGTTTCCGAGCCTGGGGCATAGCTGCGTAGAGCGCGCGTTCCTGGACGCTAAGTACGACGTGAACCTCGCAGCAGCCGTGCTCGCATTGTCGCAAGAACAGCCCGCGACCGACCTCGCTGCTGCTGCTGCTGCTCCTGGTTCTTCTGGTGACTCTGGTGGCGCTGCTGGCGGCACAGGCGCTGCAATGCAAGGCGGAGCAGCAGTCAAGGACGGCGCAGTAGCGCACCAAGCGCAGGAGCAGGAGCACCGGTGGTGGGAGGAAGCCCCTTTCGCTGCAGCAGGCAGGGCGGCGGGGGAGGTAAAGGCGGAGGGGGGGGTGGAACGGAAAGCTGTTCTGCGGGGAAGTGACGCGGCTGGGGAAGATGAGGACGTGTTCGTGTGGGGTGATGGGGGGTGGGAAGCGGTGGACGAGTGCACAAACGAAGCACGAGGTGGGGGGGATGTGAACAGGCAGGGAGACGCGGAGGGGCAGGAGAAGGGGCGGGGTGACAAGAGGAGGAGTAGGAAGAGCAAGGGAAAGAACAAAGTGGATGACCTGGGTGATGTGAAATCGGAAGTGGTGGGGAAGGTGAGTCGTGGTGGCGGGGGGTCGAGTGAAGGGGGCAAGGAAACGGCGCAGCGTGACACTAAGAGGAGTAAACTGAAAGCTCCTTCTCCTCAGAAGCCGCAGAAGCAGAAGCAGCAGCAAGGAGGGGAGAGGGAGAAGAGTGCTGCAGTGCAAGGGAGTGCGTTAGAGACCCAGGCAGAGCCACTGCGCCAGGCAGAACGCACGCATGCAGCACCTGCTGCCGCTCCTGATGACGCCACCGCCACTGCCATCACCACCGCTGCGGCCGCTGCTGGCCCTGGTGGTGCTGGTCTGGCAGCAGCAGGTGACTGTGAAGGCGAGGGCGAGGGCGAGGGCGAGGGCGAGAGCAGCAGCATGGAGTACAGCGATATGGTGGATTTCTTCTACTCCATGCTGGGCAGCAATGCATGCATTGAAAAGGACACCATCAGCTACGTCATCTGTCAGTCCCCTTGCCTTTTGATTTCGCCTCTCCTTGTGTTTTGTCTGGCTTTGTGATCCATCCCGCCTTGTTTTTCAACCCAAATTTAGCTTCGCCCTGCCTTGTGGTTCCCTTGACCATGATCTTTCATTTGCACCTTTTTCAAGGTATGCGGGATGGTGGGGCATGGTACTGGAAGGGATGGGAGAGATGCCAGAGAGGTGTGCTGTGTGCTGCACAGATCGTAATCGCCTTAGTTCTGACGTGTCTTCATGCTTTGTCTCTTCCCTCTTCCCATTCTATGCGTGTCTGCATGTTGGTATGGCATCTCTGGTGGCATTGTGCGTCTGGTTTGCTGTGCATGCTGCGGAGGGTGGGCTATGGTGATGTGATGGTGGATGCTTGTTCTTGTGTGTTGTGTTTCACGCGGATCATGGTATGCGTGCGAGTTGAGCCTTCTTCACTGCCGTTGCTGCCGATAAACACAGCCTACTACAACGGAGACATGTCTCAGGTCATTCCCCATTTCATACCTTTCCGTCTCCCTTGCTCTCCCTCCAACCCTTCACATCTCCAACTCTCCAACCATCTCTTTGTCTCTTTCTTGCTCTTCCACTGCACACACCACTCTAGTCCATCCGCCCCCCCCCCCCCCCCCCCCCCCGGCCCCATGCCTCTGCTCCCACCATTTTTGTTTCAATCAGCCCACATTATTATCCGCTGTTTCTGCTCCTCACTGCCGCCACCACTCTACTTAACACCCCTTGACACATGTTCCCCATAGCTTCAACACTCGTCTTCCTCTTTCTGTCCTCTCACCCTCCGCTCCCCACCTCTCCTCCTTCCGCCTTGCAGAGTCTGGAGGTGCTGTTGGGGCTGGTGGGCGGCCAGGCGGAGCAGGGGGGAGGGGAGGGCGGACAGGGAGGGGGAGGGGCAGGGGGGGAAGCGGGGGAAGGCGGGTGGGGGAGAGCGTATGGGGATGTGGAGATGGAGGAGGCAGAGGGATGGTACCCTGGGGAAGATGCTGCTGCTGCTGCTGGGGGTGATGCTGCTGCTGGGGGTGGTTCTGCTCTTGCTGGTGCTGGTGGTGCCGCTAGTGCTGACGATCAGTTGAGGACTGGTGGGGTGAGTGGGGAGCAGCTGCAGCAGCAGAAGAGGTTGGGAGTGGTGCAGATGGATGAGAACATGGAAGATGCATTTCAAGCCAATGCTGCTGCGGCTGCGGCTGCTGCTGACGATGCTGCTGCTGATGCAGCTGGTGGGAGTGCAAGGGGCGAGGAGCAGAAGCTGGCCACGCTCTGTGACGCCTTCCCCTACTTTGACCGCGCTGTCGTCGCTGCTTTTTTGGAGGTACGGGGAAAACACGCACACAGCCTTTGCCGCCTTATCACCCCGCTCACAAACCCTCCCCCCCCACCCGCCCTCCCCCCCACCCTCCTCTCCTTGTCTCGTGCTTCAAAGCATCACCATAAGCACCATGCATTCCTACATATCACACAGATTCCGTTCTCCCCCCATGCTGCCCTTTATTAAGATAATTCCTCATCTCTTCCCACCCCTCTTACTGCTCCCTTCCCCGTCCCCACAATAATATCTCCCCGTCTCCTCTTATCTATCCACCTTGCTCCCACTACCCCCTCCATCCACCCTACACTCTTATATACATTTTCCACAGTCTCTGGATGGCGACATGGATGGAGCAGCAGACGCACTGCTGGCTCAGGAGACAGCAGCAAAGGCCGCCGCCAACTCTGCCCCTGCTCCTTCCGCTGCTGTTACGGCCGCCCCTTCTTCTCCTCCTCCTGCAGCTGGTGCTGCTAGTGGTAGTGCTGCTGCTGCTGAGGTAAGAGCAGGCAGGAATGCACGACACCGGTCAGGAGAGAAGAAAGAACAGGTGAGAATGGTTGAGATAGGAGGGATGATGTGTGGGCGCAGGGCGAGGGGATGAAAGGGAGAAAGGGGGGGGGGGGGGGAGGTGGCGAAACTGGGGGACGAAAGTGGGGGGCGAAAGGGGGGGATGAAAGGGGGGGGTGAAAGGGGTGGGTGAAAGGGGGGAGTGAAAGGGGGGGGTGAAAGGGGGGGGCGAAAGGGGGGGGCGAAATGCGGGCGGGGGTGGTATGCGTGTTATTACCCTCAGAGAAGCTGCTCGCTACTGCCTTGCCTTGCATTCACCCTATCTTCTATCCCACCCGCACTCCCCTTTCATCCAGCCAGTGTCCTCCTTTCTCCTTTTCAACCGCATTCGCTTCCACCCCTTTTCCCCTTTCCACCCACTTACCCTCTTCAACTCCTTTTCCCTCTTCAATCCCTCGTCCCTCTTTGATCCGTTTTCCCCTTCCAACTCCTTCTTGTCCACCCCTTCCGGTTGCACCCCCGCCTTCTCCATTTCCCGGCCTTGCCTCCACGCAGGGAGGGGGAGTGGAGGAGAGGGCAGTGATGGAGCAGCTACTGCTGCTGTACCCACGGGTGGACCGCGACTCGCTCCTGCAAGTGCTGCGCGTCTGTGGCGGCTCTCTCAGGTGTGGCGGCTCTCTCAGGTGTGGCGGCTCTCTCAGGTGTGGCGGCTCTCTCAGGTGTGGCGGCTCTCTCAGGTGTGGCGGCTCTCTCAGGTGTGGCAGCACTCTCAGGTGTGGCAGCTCCTTCACGCGACCTTTTTTTCCTTGGTGTGATTACTCACTTCACTTGTTTGTCCCGCTCATCCATTTCCCAGCCCAATTCTTTATTTCACCTCCCTCCTCGGTTCCCCTCTCCCCCATGTCTCCGCAGTGACACGTGTGCCTTTCTTGACAGCTCAGAGGTGGCAGCAGAAGCAGAAGCAGCCGCGCGAGGTCCCAGCACCCATCGCAGCAGGGCACAGGCAGCACAGGGAGCGGGGCAGAGGAGGCAGGAGGAGGTGCCTCTGTGGAAGTGGAGGGCGCAACACAGAGCTGCAGAACGCGCTGCTGCTGCTGATGGTGGTGGTGCGCGTGTCGGCAGTTATCGTGCTGCTGATGGCGGTGTTGGTGGTGATGGTTATGCTGGTTCTGATGGTTATGGTGCCGCGGATGGTTACGCCTTTAGGAGTGAGGGTGTGGCGGGTGCTGTTCAGGCAGATTCTGGCGCAGGTAGCAGGCCTCGTGTGATTGAAGGCGCTGCTGCTGCTCCCGCTACTGGTGCTGCACCAGGGGGGCGTCCCGCCTCCCCTCCCAAGTCATCCGATTGCTACAAGCGGCACCGCGAGGCGGCGTTTGAGAGGAGGAGGATGATGCAGTATTACTTCCGAGAGGTGGGCGTTTCTTGACAGGTGGGCGTTTCTTGTGTTTTCTGAGAGTTGTAAGAAATACGCACACCTACAATATTCATGGAGTGCTACTTCTAAGAGGTGTACATGCAGGCATCGCCCTGTCCACAACCCTGCTTGCTCATCTCAACATGCCTGAGTCTGTACTCCCGCTTCTTTGCCTCTTGATCCTATTCTGCGCCCAGTCCTCCTTGCCCGCTGCAACCCCTCCCCTTCCCCTCCTATCCTGTCCTTCTCTTCTCTCCCCATCCATCCCACAGCAGCCCATGCTTCTCTCCTCTCTTTCTCCCCTTCCTCCTCCCCTGTCCGTCACCCCTCGCCCTCGTCCGTCCCTTGGTGGCAGGCCAGTGAGGCGTGGAGGCGAGGGGAGAGGCAGCGAGCAGCAGCCCTTGCAGACAAGGTGGGGTCTGGTCTCTGCCCATAAGGTGCCGCGATTCGTAACAACACCAAGTTGCAGGGCACGCATGCTGCATGGTTGATTGGTGGAATGGAAGCGGGGCAAGGCCTTAGCTTGTTGCAAAGCAAGACGAGCATGTTTTGCACACAGCAACCCGTGCATGCATGTCTGGCCAATTGCAATTGCATGTGTACCTCTGCCCCGAAGCTTGACCCTCCTCCGTTCTGCCATGGCCCAACCTTCGCTCATGGCCCAACCTTCGCTCATGGCTAAAACCTTCTGCTGTAGCTCAATTGTGGCTTGTTGGTCAAACCCTCTCTCTGTGACTCCTTCCCTCGGTCCCTCTTTCAGGGTCAGAGGAATATCAAGAGGTCCTGGTTAGAACCTTCCACTGTGGCTTAGCTGTGGCTTCTTGGTCAAACCTTCCCTTTGTGACTCCCTCCCTCCGTCCTCCATCCAGGGTCACGAGTATCGGGAGCAATATCAAGAGCTCATGCAGGAAGCAGGGCAACGTATATTCAGGGAAAAGTAAGCAAGCACCCCTGCTGCTCCTGCCCACATGATCAGCTTTCGTCTTGGTGCTTTGTGCATTTGCTTCTCCCATAGCTGATGCCGCTAGCTTGTTCCAAACTCCCAATCGTAATCACGTGGGTTGATTTTGACCGCATTTGCTTCAGGTGCCTGTGCATGTGCGTGTGCCTGCCCATGCACATGCCTGTGCTGTGCACGGTGCGCACTGCAGCACCTGCAATCGTGTTTGCACACTGTTCTTTTACTGCGTTTGTGTGCCTCTACCCGTGCCTCTACCCGTGTCTCTACCCGTGCCTGTGCCTGCACCTGTGCCCCGTGCCTGTGTTGTGCGCGCAGCAACGAGCGGCTGGGAAACAACATGGATGTGGATCTGCATCACCTGCATGTGGACGAGGCATTGCAGCACCTGCAGCTGCACCTCACTCTCCTGCAAACCCTGCCCAGTCAGTCCCCCCTCTCCCCGCTTGCCCCTCCCCATGTGCATCTAGAGTCAACTCACATCACGCCGGCCAAGTCAGTGCCCTCCCTGCTCACATCGTCCCATGCTCCTCTTCCCTCCTCGCTTCCATCACATCTCATCTGCCCCTCGCACTACCCAGTGCCACTCTCCCCTTGCCTTTCCTCATCACCTTTCCTCGTCATATCGCTCTGCGGCGTACCGACACCCCACACCACCCCTCTGCACCCCTCCGTCTCTCCAGTCTCCCTGCATCTGCTCTTCTCACGCCTTTCTCTGGTCCTTTCCCCTCCCAAGCTCGTTCATGCTGTGCCAGGAACCTTCTCCCATAGACTTGGTGTGTGGGGGTTTGGTGCTTGATGCTCGTGACTGTGACTCGGTGGGTGTTGTCCTATTGTCTGGGGTGTGTTTGTGTGTGTGTGAGGTGTGTGTATGCATGGGGTGCTGGGGTGCTGTATGAATGCTCTGCTGCATGCATGGTGTCTCCCTGCTGTGTGCAGCTCTCAGCAGCATAACGGTCATCACTGGTAGAGGCAAGCACAGCGCTTCTGGGCAAGCCAAAATTAAACCTGCGGTAAGGTTGGGGGAAAGGGGAAAGGGGACGGGACAGGGGGGGCAGCGGAGAGTGGGGGGGGCTTACTGCACCGAATCATTCCGAGTCTGGCTTTTTATGGTGCTTTGGAAAGGGATGGGTAGAGTTCTGGACGTGAGGCACTTGCTGTGGGTTACTTGCGAGCAGATATCATATGCCTGATTTGACGGCATATAACGCACATGGAGCTCTCGATCTGCTGCCTTCACCTCACCACCCCACTGCTGCCTTCACCTCACCACCCCACTGCTGCCTTCACCTGACCACCCCACTGCTGCCGCTGCCTGTGCGTGTCTCTCAGGTGCACCGGTACTTGCAGGAGAGAGGAGTGGGGTGGCAAGAGCAGAACGCAGGCAGCATCCGCATCACCCGCTACAATCTACCCCCGGATCCCATCCGTAGATGACCACTTGAGTCCATGCACGCCTGTGTGGCAGTTCCTGACGTGCCTCATCACACCGCAACAGGCAGCATCCGCAAATAACCTGCCTCCCTCCCGATCCAATTCTGTAGACGATCCCGTCAGTCAGTCCATCCTGATTCCACACCACCCCATGCTCATTCTGATACAAGAGTCAACTGGATCAAAAGCATTCGCATTACCCGCTACAGCTTGCCTCAAGATTTTTTCACTAGATGATCACCTCAGCAGGTCCATGCACATTGCACTGTGGTTGATTACGAATGGAAGGTAGATAGCGTTGCATGGTTGGAGTCACTGAGTGCATTGCATGGTTGCAGATTTGCTGGTGACAGGAAGACCTCGGCTGGGTGCTATCAGCGACGAGGTAGAGTGGGCTGGTAAGGGTTTGCACATTGCACGTTGAAGTTTGGGCAGCCAACCACGTGAGCTTGTGTGAGGGGCCTTTGACGTGCCTGTAGTACCGTACCGTAGATGATCTAATTGCTTTCAGATTCATCCACCCACACAACTGGTCTGCCTCTGCCCAAGCTCACGGTACCGTTCCAGTAATCCCTCAGTCACAATATCCGCTTGTGACTTTTATTGCACAATATCCAAATGTATGTTGAACGTACAACTAAAAAAATATACTAGTGTGGAAGGGTGTACAGAATTGCATAGCAGGCAGGTACTGCTGCTCAGCACCGAAATGCAATAAAAACAATGGTACCGTAGGTAGGTACAAACTGTTGGGCTGAGATAGCCCCTTATGATCTTTGCAAGGGATAACTCTAGGTGAAGTAGTTGTAATAGCGGAAGCGTTTAGTGAAGAATTTGAACCGACCTTGCACTGGTGTGTGAGAGCAAAGTTGATTGAATTAAACAAGCAAATACAAGGATTTATATAAGAGTACAGGGAATACGAATAGATATGTAGATAACTGTATTGCTGTTGCGGTTCGATACAGTGCGACTCGGGCAACTGCTCTGTAACGAGTCAGTTGTGTGTCCTTAACTGTCGCGCTGTAATTGTCGAGTCAAAGGTCAGCGACCTTTGACTTTCTCGTAACCTCCAGGCGGTTACCCTAACCTCCGAGGTTGACTCGATGCTTCGATTGGGACTGCTTCGCTTGGTGCCTTGGGTTTTGATACGACAGAAGCGCACTTAGGACTTATTGTTTCCAACACTCCCCTTCGCTTCTGGAGTGTCGCTGCTGGTGACGTGGCCTTGTCCAGTCAGCATCATGCAGTATTCGAACTTCTGCTTTCCGAGTTTCTTGGTCAAGTAATCGGCTGCCATCTCGGATGTTGGGCAGTATGACAGATCGAGTTTCCCTTTTTCTATCTCGTCCTTCACGAAGAAATAGCGCAGGGCGATGTGTTTCGTCCTGTTTGCGAAGCCGTTTTTGTTGGCGATGCGAATTGCTGACTGGTTGTCGCAGAACACGGTGAAGCTGGGTAACTCGGCTAGCTTCGCTTCTTCCAGTAGTTCGCGAAGGTAAAGTCCCTCCTTGGTGGCTGAGCAGAGTGCAATATATTCTGCTTCTGCTGAAGATAGTGCGATTAACTCCTGCTTGCTCGACTGCCAGGAGATAGGACCGATAGGCTCAAGGCGGTAGACATAGCCGGTGCGTGAGCGCCTGTTGTCGGTGTCGCCGGCGTGATCGGCGTCGACGTAGCCGATTAGCTTAGTTGGTGTAGCTGCGCTCTTGTGGTAGGTTAGCCCGATCGTCGCGGTGCTGACGAAGTAGTGGAGAGCGCGATCAAGTTCCGCCAGGTGTTCAGCTTCAGGCTTCTTGAGATAGGTGGCGAGCTGACTTGCGGAGTAGGATAAGTCAGGACGGCAGGTGACGGCGGCGAATAGCAGGCATCCGAGCTTCTTCTGATAGTCGCGTATGCCGGCGGGCTTGAGTAGAGTAGTTCGTTCCTTCTCGGTTCCTGATGTGTAGCGGTAAGGCGTGGAGATGGCGCTTGGTGTGAGGCTGAAGCGTTTCGCGATGGTGTCGGCGTATTTCTCGGCGCTTAGATAGATGGCGTTTTCTTCTTCGCGGATGTTGAGCCCGAGGTACTGTGTAACGGTGGAGGAGACCGTGAGCGTGAGGTCTTTCTGGAGCTCTCCTTCGAACCACGTGGCGATGCCGTCGGTTGACCCAATGTAGAGGAGATCGTCCACGTAGACGATCAGGAGAACGTAGTCGCTTCCCTTAGTGAGGCGGTACATGCCTTGGTCGTGAGGTAGTTGACTAAAGCCGATGCGGATGAGACGGGCGTGCAGGTACTGCTGCCACAGTCGCGGTGCCTGCTTGATCCCGTAGAGCGACTTAAGTAGTTGACAGATTCGGTTGGGTTCGCCGTGGGAACCGTGCGGGAGCTCGACGTAGATTTCTGCATCCACAGGTGCGTAGAGGAAGGCATTCGCGACGTCGATCTGCCGTAACTTCTTCTTCTTCATGGCGGCAATGGCGAGGAGAATTCGGAGTGACGTGTGGCGGCTGACTGGAGCAAAGGTCTCGGTGAAGTCTCGTCCTTGCTCTTGGTCGAATCCACGTACGACCCAGCGTGCTTTGAATTTTTCGATTGTGCCGTCTGCTTTCGTCTTGATGCGGAAGACCCATTTCCCGGTAAGGATGGTTTTGTTCCGTGCCACGCTTACGGGAACAACCTTCCAAGTGTTGCGTTCCTCTAATGCCTTCAGTTCTCTATCCATGGCTTCACGCCATTTCTCCCTGTGTTCCCCCCCCAGAGCCTGCTGAACCGTTGCAGGCTCCTTAGGAAGCGAGCTGCGTGTGTTCCCGTGGACTGCGGTGACGAGGCCGAGGATTTGCAGTCCAGTCTGTGAGTATCGAGGGAGTTCTGGATCCTCGGGATAAGCTGCTTCGTCTCCCGCTTCTGGATCAGGGATGAAATTCGGTCCTATCCTTTGTGCTTCATTTGTGTTGACGGTTGCAGGTGTTGCGTAACCGGTGTCGGCGAAGTGGTAGAAGACTTCGGCGTTGTTACTGTCGCGAGGATTTTCTTCGTCCATGGGCACGTTGACGGAGCAGTACGGGAGAGGTCCGGCTTCTGCCGATGCGTTGTCAACATTCTGCTCGTCCCAGTCTGCTTCATCCGCTGCTGACGCGAAGGCTCGGTCACCACGAAAACCACTGGTGAGATCCCGATTCTCGTGCAAGTTGGCGAGGTACGTCTGAAGGGTGAGTCTTTCGTAGAAGATCACGTCACGTGCTGCTACTGTTTCCTTTGTGTGGACGTCGAAGATTCTCCATGCGTTGTAATTTTTCTCGATGCCGAGGTGTAGTCCCCACTGTGCCCGTTGCGAAAATCTTCCCGCTCGTGCTTCTGGGGGTCTGTACTGTACCATGCACCCGAAAACTCGTAACATTTTCGTGCTGCCCTGCTTCCCTGTCCACAGCAGATGCGGTGATGCGTTGTTCGGGAGTGACGACGACGACAACAGGTTGTGCAGCATGACAGCGTGGTCCATTGCTGCTGGCCACTGGTGGTTGGGTAGCCGCATGCCACGTAACAGTTTGCGCATGCTGTTCTGCAGGGTCCTGTTCAGTCGTTCTGCAACACCTTGCTGCTGATGTGCGTAGGGAAGGGAGAGGAGTTGCTTGATCCCCCTTTCCGCCAAGAACTGCTTGAAGCGGTGAGAGGTGTACTCGCCACCTCCGTCTGACTGGAAATTTTTCAGTTGTGTTCCAGACTCTCTCTCTGCTATCGGTAGCCAGGCGGCGAATGCTGCGAGCGCCATGTCGCGGCTGGGTAGGTTGCGATGCCAGACGTATCGAGTGGCGGCGTCGATGAAGGTGATGGTGTAGTTGTAGTTGACTTGTCCTGGTTCGCGATTGTAGAGGATGTCGCTGTAGACTTTTTCGAGTGGTGCGTACGCTGGAGCGCTCGGGTTGTGATGTGAAGCAAACGGTCGATGAGGTAAGTCAGCTTCGGGACATATAAGGCAATTCCCTCGTGCCTTCTGGAGTTCTCTGCCATCGGGTAGAAGTAGAGAATCTTTGTCAAGGACTCCTGCTCTTATCGTGTTATTCAAAACCGTGTTGCTTGGATGTCCTGTTCGTGCGTGCCAGATCTCTTCAGAGGCGCGGTGTCTAGGTGAACGCTGATATGCGTCGGAGTTGGAGTAAAAGCTGGCGACGAGGTTGGCGCTTCGGTGGACTTCACGTTGAGTCGGATTCAACTGTTGTGCGGGTGTTGGTGGTGCTTCGTCGACTGTGACTGGTGTCGTTGTTTCTGCTGCTGCTGATGTTGTTGCTGCTGCCGATGTTGTTGCTGCTGATGCCGATGTTGTTACTGCTGCCGATGTTGTTGCTGCTGATGCCGATTGTCGAATTGTTGCTAATGCTCGTGTTCGTTCTGCTTCAGGAATGGTGTGCGAGTACCAGAAGCCTCCCGGGCTGAAGTCGGGGTCGAGATCCGGAGGGTGTGTCCAGTCAGTGAAATTCACGATGGCGTCGCTGTCTGCAGTGCCCAGGTCAGGAACGAAGTCGAGGACGAAGACGTTGTTCTTCAGCACTGCTTTTCCGATGTAGAGACCGCCTCTCCCGTGGTAAAGCTTGAACTCCTGGGTCGTGCTGTCGGCTTCCAGATGAATTCCTTTCGCCATCAACTGGCTAACGCTCAGTAAGTTGTAGCCGAGTCCTTCAGCGATGAGTACCTTAGACATGTGCAGTATGACGTTTGTTTCTCTTGACTGAAGCTGTACCACTCCTTGTCTTCGTTTGCGCAGGTTTTGGTTGTTGGCAACCGTGATGATTACTTCCCGTTGGAGTCGATGTTCGCGTTGTACGAAACGCCCGGACGAGCACATGTGTTGCCCGCAGCAACTGTCCAAGAACCAGGTGTCTTGGCCGGACGGTTCACTTTGAGCGATGGCGGCGTACGTTGGATTCGGCTGGAGTAGCTCACGGCGAGGCGTTCTGTTGTCAAGCTCTTCTTCCGGTGAGTAGTGTGGTGGTGATTCGGTTGTACACGAATCGGTTATCTTC